TCTGAATGTGTTGCCACTCTGGGGCTAGAAATTTGAGCAAGCGCTGAGTGAGATATTGCACGGCAGGTGAGAAGGCGGCCCGCAAGGGCACAATCACTGTCTTCTGAATCTGAAGTTCGAGTCCTGCGAGAGTGGCAATGGCAAGAAAAAAAGGGGAAGGAGGAAAGGGAGGGTCCCAAGGCGAGCGAGGACAAGGCCCAGATCATCTGCGCAGGCACCGAGCTTGTTAGATCCAGGAAGAAGGTTTAAAATCTGGACGAGATGACGGATGGGGGCATCAAACGCAAGGGCCCAGATCGATCCTGAAAGAGGACAGCCCTGAAGCACCCCAGAGCCGATTTCGAACATGTACTGAAGCTGGCCACCGACGCGGGCCCACGCCCCTGGAGAATGGTAAAGCGCACGAATGACATTGAGATACCCTGGGGGGACTCCGTGAGCCACCAAAGAAGCAAACAGGAATTCCCGTCCTAAGGATGGGAAGGCAGCTTTGATATCGAAACTGACTAAGATGGGAAGGGCATCTAGGGCAGCTGGGGAATGGCCTGCTCTATGGGCTTCAGAATCTAGCGTCAGAACGTGTTGTCCGAAATTGCGGCCCTTTACAAACCCCTGCTGCGTGTCTACCGTTCTCTCTTTGACCATATCCACTAAGCCCATGTTCACGACGTGGGCAATCAGTTTGGCGTCGCAGTTCTTTAGGGGGAGGGGGCGAGTGGCACCTGGAGCTCGAAATGCGGCGTATTGGTCCTGGGGCTCATCACCTTTTGGAAGAAACGCGAAGACGGAATTGTTGAACTGAAACGGGGCCAGGCCTGTTTCGAACATCTGCATCATGAGGTCATATAAGATCTGAGAGGAGCCTGGAGAAGTAGCCCATGCAGCATAAGGTATCTGGTCAGGGCCTGGGGCAGTGTGACGTACCTTACGTAGGGCTCTCTGAAAGTCCTGAAGAGCTGGAACCCGCAGGTCCGCGCGATCGAAGACGGGGAGGTGCTGGGCCAAGTACGACTGGACCGCGTTGGGGTCCACGATCTTGCTCGAGAAGATGGGCTGCCAGAACTTTTGAAGACCTCCGAAAATGCCCTCGGGTGAGCTGGTGGTGGGGAGGGCATCGGTGGGTGTCCCCTCTTTTGGTATCCTAAGTCCTGAAAGAACGAGGCGACGACGAAATGGGTTCCAGGCCTGCGCCCGGCGTGTGAGCTGCATCGCGGCCTTGCGGCTGCCGGCCTGGTCCATCTGCATCTCGGCGTGGGGCTGCAGCTGGCGCTTCGTGGCGATGGCGACGCGTCTGTCGTAGTCTGCGGTAGCAGCTGCATCCATAAGCTTGATGTACTCGTCTCTGTTGATGAGCTCGGGCCCGTTGTCGGTAAGGCGAAGGTGAGCGCCGCCAATGTCCGTCGTGGCCATGAGGAGTGCTGCCGTGTCTGAGTCTTTTCGCCAAACCGTCCGAGCAATGGCACGTAGTGTAGTCAGCCTCCCATGCTTCGCCCAGCGGCTTTGATCATGTAGGGTGGCTCGCTGTTGAAGATTACGAGTGAGGCGAGCCGCTTCTTTGATGATGAGCTTGCGTTGCTTCCAGGCTCCAGTTGGCGTGAGAGCTGCCGAGGCGATGTTGTCCTTCAGGAAGTTGAAGTGGCGCTGGTACGTGGGATCGTGGAAGATGAGCGGATCGATGGCCTGTTCCTCCTTCTGCGCCGCCGATGCGTTGACCGGCAGCAGGTGCAGGATCGCGTGGTCACTGAGGCCTTTATCTGATAAAGCAGCGCCGTCTTTGTGGATCTTGAGGTGAGCGTCAACGTTCATGAGATCGATGCCCGACAGCGACACGAAGATGCGGTCTATGGCAGTAGCCGCTTGTGTGTTGGCCGAGAAGTGCGTGGGCAGGTCGTGCGTAACTTCCGCGAGCGAGGCAAACAATTGGCGCCAACGCGCTTGTTCGCGCTGATACTGTCCATCAGGTGCCATCGGCCGCCAACGTGCTGATGGATCCTTGCAGTTAAAGGAGGGGACCGCGCTGGTGTTGAAATCGCCCATGGCAATGAATAGCCGCTGTTGTGGGTTCTGCGCTGCCCACTGTCGGGAAGCATGCCGCGCTTCCGTCACTCTATCCATATCCGTAGCCTACAGGTCGTGATTGTGCACATTCATGATGAGCGTTTCGAAGCCCGTGGTGTGGTTGGCCACATGGAGGACAGCAACCCTCCCGTGTATCACTTGCCAAAGCGAGGTAGAGGTCGTCGTCATCGAAGGCGTCGGTACTAAGAAGGCGATGCCGCCCTTGCCGCGGTTGTGAGGGAAGCCGCTTAAGAAGACCTGATAGTCGTAGGGAAGTTTGCCAAGGTGTGATTCGAGATCGAGCTGTGTGCTGTGCACCTCTTGGAGAGCGATGAGCGACTGCTTGCGCATGAAGGGAACGAGCTGCCGTATCTTTCCCCAGCGCTTGGCATCATCATGACAGAGTAGCCCGCGAGCGTTCCAACAGATGTAGCTGCCTGCCGTATCTGCTGTAGAAGATCGTGTACGTGTACGAGTAGTCCGAGACCGACGGTTGTTGAATGATGAGCTGGTGTCCGACGAGGATGAAGAAGCGCTGGTAGAAGACGATGGCGAAGAAGCCGAAGATGAGCTGAAAGTTGAAACCGAGCCATTCTGAATCTTATCTATTTTGGGAATGTGATCTTGTTCGGGAAGCAGTAAAGCTTGCGCGGGATGAGGCAGATCATGTTGCGGACGAAGCGAATCTGGTGGGCACTCCAGGCCGGAGAAATCTGAAGTAACATCTGGAGGGCTCTCCCGTCCCTTGGGGACAACAGGGGTGTCCCAATCCCCGTGTGCCGGTCGTCGCGGTGCAGGTAGATCTGCTGGTGCTCAATGATGCTGAAGATCTGGTCTGGGTTCCCGTGGAGCACATTCGGGATGAAGAGGGGCGTGCGCAGCTTCAGAGCAAGGAAGCTGGAGGTCAGGTGCTGGCCGAAGGTGCTGTAGAGGATGATGCCGATGTCCTCGCGGTGCATCAGGTCCAGGAGGTCTGGCATGGTCTCCGTCTGTGGTCGTAGTTCTCCATGGAGACCAGCGTTTGTTAAAGCCGCTGTACTGTGTCCTCTGCTTTGTAGAGAGCGGCAAATTCTGCAGCTATGGTGGCTTTGTTGTTAGGAACCTTGGCCAGCGCATCTTGGTTCCAACGAGTGACCATTGCCGCGTCCATGCTAGTGAGCTCCAGTTTGGCGGTGGGGATGGTATTGCAGAAAATATGTCCTTGATCGCGACGCGCGCGCCAATTGTGCGTGGGGTAGTGGGTCTGGCAAAGAGCGAGTAGCTTTTTAGTTTGAGTTTCCATTCTGATGCGCTTGATGTTCTTATCGGGGTTGGCGTAGAGCGGGACGTACTGGCCGTGCTTGATGACGCAGTTGGTGGGGGTGTGAACTGTGAACTTTCTGTAACCTCCGCGCCCTGGAAGCTGAAGGGCACGAGCGAGCGCAACGGATTTGGAAATGGCGACAGATCGGCCGCCCAGAAGCTGAAGTATGAAGCGCCGATTGGGTCCTTCACCGTGAATCTGAAACTGCTGCGGGGCCACTTCTGCTGCATCCAACCATTCTGTGATGGGCGTGCGAACTGCGGCAGTGTCGACGGGCTGCGCGGTGGAGAGAACGTAGATGGCGGGGTCGGGCTCGCGATCCCAGTCTGAGAGCTTGGCCATGTCCAGGATGGGAGCGTCGGCATCGCCCAGGCTGAACTGCTGATTGATACGCTGGATGGCACTCCAGACTTCCTGATGTTGTGATTCTTGCTTGGCTTGAGCAATCTTGATGGCCATGAGGTCTTGCTCTTGCCCGTCCAATCTGCGAGTCGTAGCTGCTTCGTGTCGCTGTAGAGCGGCAGTGAACTGCGTTTGCGAGGCGGATACGGTTTCTCCAACTGCGGTATTGATTGCTGCCACTTGTGATGCCATGATCTGCTTGAGCTCGCGCTGAATGTCTGGGTCCAACGTTGATTGAGGCCACGGTCCGCCTGCTGGCGTGGCGGTGCCTTCTGCTGCATGAGCTGGTGCTGCAGCTGATGCCATGTGTCCAGAGCTGGCTGCGGCGGTAGAGGGCGCTGCTGTAATAGGAGAGCGCTGCTGAGCTGCGTGAGCCGCGTGTTGAGCAAGCCATTGTTGTTGAGAGGTTTCTGCTGCGGCGGCAAGCTGCGCGGCTTCGTGGGCGTCGCGTGCGGCTTGAACCTCTTGGTGTTCACGTGCTTGTCGTTCTCGCTGTGCGTGTTGGTGAGCTTGCCAGTGAGCTTGTTCTTGAGAGGGGGCAGTCGGTGCTGCATCAAGTTCTTCCAGTGCTGCTCGCTGCCATGCGTCTTGAGTGGCTGCTGAATGAAATCCACGAGGGGCGCCATTTGCTTCACGTTCGAGAGGGCCTTTAGAGCGTCCACTGTGTCCTTTGTGCGGAGGGCGTGAACCTTCAGACGAAGAAGTACGTTGGCGTCGATCCCTATCACGTCGGCGGTGTCGATCGCGGTCGCGGTCTCTGTCCCTGTCGCGCCTTTCTGAATGTCTGCGGCGATCCCGACGGTGTCCACTGGCCTGACTTCTGCTCTTGGAGTCGCTGCGAGATGAAGCGGAGGCAGTGTCGGAGTCCATTCTGAAGTGTTGTACTGTACTATGCCACGTGTTGCCTGTCCGATGCCAAGCGAGAGAAGAGCCAATCCAAAGACCTGCAATTGAATTAGTTGAATTAGTAATTGTGCGAAAGTGAGCTTCGTCTTGCGGATATGGAGCGGAGCCGTGGGCTGGGCAGCCCTGGCGGTCCTGTGAGTTATGGAATGGAACAGAGCTGAACGGCCAGCTGCCTTGGGAAATGTTTTACTTGAGCCAAAATGGCTTGAGCCAAAATTGCTACGGAGGAGGAGGAGGAGGAAGCGGAGGAGGAGGAGGAACAGGAGTAGGAGGAGGAGGAACAGGAGTAGGAGGAGGGGAAAGGAACAGCAATCCAGGAGGAGCGTAGCGCCCAGGGGTGGCGCACAGGATGTCGGTCTGGGCCCTCGTGATCTTGTCGACCTGGGTCTTTGTGCTCTCGCCTGCCGCAGGCGCGCCCAAGGGGGTGGAGGCAAACCTCGCGCCCAGACGCTGCGGGGGGGGGGGGAAACACAACACGGCATTGGTGTTTCTCTTGTGGAACTATACTAGACTTCGGGGCCCGACGCCCTCACACATCGATCGGGCTCGAGAAATCCAACAGAACGATGTGACCGATCATCTCGATAGTTAATTGTTGCCTTAAGCATAGTTTGTGTGTTGTGCTGTGTTGTGTTGTCTTGTGTTGTGCGTATATTCCAGATCGGCCTTGGCCTCCTTGTCGCTCCACTCTGCTCTCTCGCTCCACCGCGCCTTCCAGTGGCGGTTGGCTCATGACACCTTCCACCTCACCTTAGTCTCGTCCTCCCCCCGCCCCCCCGCCATCCATGCCCGGATGGTTGTCGCTGCCGGCGGTTGCGAGACCCTGAGTGGCCTCTGAGTGCTCGGACGGGTTTAGACGCGCGCGTGCGCGGTTAGCTGTTCTTAGACCTGCTACGCACTGTCGCTGCGCGCAGGGCCGCGACGCCAAACATGTGTGTGTATGCGTGTGAGAGGGTCAGAGAGAGAGAGAGAGAGAGAGAGAAAAAAAAAAAACAAGAAAGAGAGAGAGGGAGAGTGTGTGTGTTTTTTTTATGTGGGTATAAGGTGTGTATATATGTGTGGTTTGCGTGTTTCCACTACATCGAATGTCGTTAAATGGTGTGACTCCCGACGCTTCAATTTGTCCACCAGCCTTCTCCCGCTCCTACGCTTCGGCGAGAATTACCTCACAACGGGGATGCGGCCAATGCGAATCAAGCAGCGTTTTACATTCCGAACTCAAAAATCATGAATCCAACCATGGGGGCGTTTCATCTGTGCCTCTGCTGACCTTTCGCCAACTTCTGTTGGCGGAATCGCCGCCGTTCTGGTTCCGCCAGCTTCAGCCGAAGGGGAGATGCGCCGGACGGCAAGGGCCTTACTGGAAATCCGCGAATGGCAAAACCAAGGCCCATATCCGGGCCAATAAATAACAATTTCAAGACATCCTCCCAGCGGGGCACCTGGGGACCCTTTGGGCTTCTTGTGGACCTCGAGGTCGACAACGGATGCGCCCCTAGATTTGTTGTTGCAGAGCTTTGTCACATGTGCTGTCATCGTGCTACCATCAAGGAGCGAAGGGGCTTTTCCGACTACCCTAAAAACCTCGGCGACAAAGAAGTTCCCCGACCTAGATCTACAGAGCGGCCCGAAATCCAGAATACTTCTGGAGCTCAATGTTGTCCCTGTTTCAGCGTCTTGACTGTACGGTGGTTCTCGGAGCGAGGACATGCAAACTGTTTTCTGACCAGCGCTGGGCGGATCGTTCAACCCTGACCGGTCGCCGCTTTCCGACAGCGCAGATCGTCCGATATTGGCCACCTCAGGCTGGTGGCAGCGATCAAGCTCAAACGCCTGCGCTGGGGTCGCCGACCCATCGACGCAGAACGAACTCTACTGGCAATTCCCTCGTCAGAGCAACGATGCTGCCATCAAATACACCCGCATCGTCCGTCTGCTCTCGGCTCCGCGCTCCCTGCTTCTACCTCTGCCCGAACCGTTGGTCCAGCCTCGCGCTTCCGCCGCCGCCACAGCTGCTACTGCTCTTCTTCCAACTGGTGTGTCCTCAGCTTTCCGACCTCCGTCCGATCCCTTGTCCTCCTCCTCCTCTTCGTCCTCCTCTTTCTCTTCTTTCTCCTCTTTCTCCTCCTCCTCCTCTTCTTCCTCCTCCTCCTCCTCGTCCTCCTAGTGCTCCTCCTCCTCATCCCCCCTCCTCCTTTTCACGATCCTCCAACTCCTCCTGTTCCTCCTTCTCCTCCCTCCTCTGCGCCTCCCTACTCGTCCACCGGCTCTATTTTATCCTTTTCCTTACTCGTCCCTCTCCACCTCCTCCACCTCCATACTTCGTCCTGCTCGACGCTGCGCACCTGACGGACTGGAGCCCGCCTCCTCCGCCTTCTCCTCCTCCTGCTCATCTTTATCTCTCTCTTCCTTAGGCGGCAGGACATCTGTTCACGCGTACGCGCGAGCGACCCCTACTGAACGCTTCCGGGAGCGCGAGCAAAATGCAGAGCGGCGGGACGAACCGGTAGTCCACCGCCGCCCTGCCCGATCCGCTCGGCCGACTAGCCAGCCAGCTCGGCCGCCAGCGCGACGCGGGCCGTGAGCTTGCGCCCCCAGCCGAACGAGCTGCGCAGCTGCCGCGCTGTGGCGCGGTGCAGTGCGCAGCGCAGCTCCGCGGCCTAGCGGCGCGGCAACACGCTCGCGGCCGCTTCGGCCCTGGGGCCGTCGCCCAGACCGTTCGCGCGGTCCCGTGCAAGCCAGTGCAGGTAACGCAGAGCTAGAGCGTAGCTTAATGGGGGGGGGCGATAAACGGGAGGGGAGAGAGGTGCATTGTTCGGGCCGGGCCCTGGAGGGCCTTCGTCGGGGCCCTAAAGGGCTCCTTTTCGGCAGCCCTCGCTGCCCCCCAACTATCGCCCCCCAATTACGCGAGGTCCAAAGCGCCGCCTTGCCCAGCCGGCCGGCCGTCTCGTGGGCCAGGCGCACGACAGGCCAGGGGGCCTGGCCAGGGGGCCCAGCGCTCGGCAGCGGCGACGGTGGTCCGCCTCCCCCTCGGCGGCCACCGCGCCGTGGCCGTCCGAGGCCGCGGTCAGGGCGCGTGCGTCCCACGAGACGCCGTGGCGGACTGTGACGTCCGCCAGGATCCGAGGGCAGTCGCCCGCTGTGCTTCGAGGTCGAGGAACGCCTCCTCGTGCTAGACCTCAACTGGGCCTCCTCGTCCTCCTCCTCGTCGTCGTCGTCGTCCTCCTCCTCCTCCTCGATTCCTTCTCCGTATAATCAACTTCTCCCTGTCGCACCCCGATGCCAATTTTTAGGGCGGGCCGGGTGTTTCGCCTTAGATTTCCTCACCATTTCTGACTCTGAAACTTAAACCTTGGCAGCCGTTTCACACATAGAGGGCGGGTCGTTTGTTAAATGTGGCTCTCGCCTTAGCGCCGCGCACAATCGGTTTTCAAATATTGGAAGCGTTTCACGGATTGAGGGCGACCCATTTTCAAAATGTGCCTCTCGCATTAGCGCCGCGTGCATTCGCTTGAACAAATTACAAGGTTTTCACGGATTGAGGGCGGTTCCTTTTCAAAATGTGGCTCTCCTTAGCGCAGGGCGCATTCGTTTTTAACATGTGCAAGAATCTCGCGGATTCCCATGACCAGCGTACCAGAAATGGTGCTGTGGACTGATTCTGGATTGTGAGGGCGCAATAGTTACGTCATTCGCGGTGTTGAAGTCCCATGAGTGGCGTTCTGGCACGACTCAGGATCGTCAAGACGCAACAATCAAATTGATCCGTGGCGTTGGAATCCCGGGAACAATGTTTCGGCACGCTCCATGGTCTTCAAACGGTTGTCTTTCGACGGGGAAATTCCCTCAGTGACAATGAACCTCTGTAGGGGCCTATGAAGAGGGAGCTTCGAGGGATGGATTCTTCAAATATCGTTGATAGCTCTTGGGTTTACAATGGTCCTCCTCCTCCTCCTAATCCTCCTCCTCCTCCTCCTGGGCCTCCTCTTCCTCGTTGTCGTCGTCGTCCTCCTCCTCCTCTTCCTCCTGTTCCCTCTCCTTCCCCATAACCCCCTGCGCCGCCCTCCTGTCTCTGCTGACCCTATGCACCTCTGCCATGCCACTGGCCCGGGCCAACAGCTGCCAGCGACAGGGGCCTCCGTACACACAATTGGTCACCAACTTTGTGCCAGAAGTCATCACCTCTCGTCCCGTGATGGAGGGCTGCGATGTGGGACGGGCGGGAAATGGATGGTGGTGGTGCTGGTGATGATGGTGGTAGTGACGGTGGTGATGTGTATGGTGGTGGCAATGGGGAAACCAAGTGTCAGAGCAGTAATAATGAGGGTGTCGAAGATGACAAGAGGATTCTGTCAATGACGGAAGATCTAGCGTTCTGCTCATGTATGGCGCTGTCGTTCTCTTCACTGGTTCTTCTCCTTCAAGGCCTGTTTCACCACGGTGGATCGCTTCTTCTTGGCCATGATCAGCTTGAACCGATCGAAGTCGGTCATCAGCGCGCGCGTCTCATTGGCCTTGATCTTCTTAGCCCAGGAGGTCATGATCCACTTTTGCATGACGCCGTGCTTTTCCAGCGCGAACTTCAGGGTCAGCTCGCGCGCGCCCCGGGGGATGGCCGTTTTGAAGTCAATGAGGCGCAGCCTTTTCACTGGCACGAAGTGTCTCGCCACGCCAGTCATCGAGGAAGGCCCATCCACAATCACGTGCTTCTGGTCAACGATGTCGACGACGGTGCGCATCTTGCCAGAGCACAGGCTGTATGTGATCAGCGCCACGCGCCCATGATACATATGAAAAAGGTGATGATCATGAGGATGGTGCTGTGGATAGTGATGATACGGAAGCCACGGGTCGGAGTAGGGAGAGGGAAGATGAGACGGAGAGGGAGTAGACAAGAAGAGGAGAGGCGACAACTTTCGCAAGTTCCGCGGGTGTCGTGGCACCATCACCGAATTGAAAAAGAATCTTTGGGGAAGCGAGGGGGTGTTTGCAAAGCGAGTGCTCGGCAAACAAAACAACATCCCGATATTGCAAACAATACTACCAGCTTGCTTAACACGGCCACAAAGAGTGCGAGTGGGTGTGTTGCAACAAGACATGTGGTGGTCAACGTTCTTCATGCGTGGATCGTCATTTCAATTTCCCACGTGCCGACCTGGGACACATTGACACGCACACGTTTTGGATTTCCGTCGTCGTCAGTCTACAGCCTTCATGTGGTCTACTGCCTTGCGCAATTGCGACCGAGGGCCTCGCCACCGTCTCTCAATCTGGATTATTTCTGCCTCCGACCTCTCGGAAGGATACAAGTATAGGATGTGGTTCAACCGCAATTTGCAGCAGCTTCTCTGTGGGCGGTTTGCATCGTTTTGGTCCCCTGTGTGGAAGATGTGTTTCATTGCCCACTTGTGGCAGCTCCAACGCGGCGTGCGCCTGTTTATGTATGTATGCATGTATTCCTGTATGCCTGTACGTCTGTATGTCTATCTGTATGTAGGTGTATATGTATGTATATATACTCATTCATATATATATATACAGTTCGAAACATAACTAGAGAGAGAGAGAGAGGGAGAGAGAGAAAGAGAGAGGAAGAGAGAGCGAGAGGGAGAGAGACAGAGGGAGAGACCGCGAGAGAGAGGGAGAGAGAGAGAGAGAGAGAAGGAGACGGGCGTGATTAGTTGTAACACAGGCCAACTCAGCTACGGCAGACACGGTTTAAGATGCGGAAATTCTCTCGACTCTTCACGCGTCAGACGTCTTCGGGGTTTCCCCAGACCGTACCAAGGGAATTGTGGTCTGCCCCCATCACTTCCAGCCTCTAGCCCTCAGACTTGGGCGATCAAATTCCGACGGCGGGCCCCCCTCTTCTTGACCAACCGTCGCCAACGATGGCCACACTTGCCCTATCGGGTCGTCAGCTTTCCAGCCTCTGGAACGCCTCCGCCCCTGTTGGAAGAGTGTCCGACAGAGGGACCTAGAGAGAGAACGAGAGCGAGGGAGAAACTGACAGGCAAGTGAAGAACGAGAGAGAGAGAGAGAGAGCGGACAACGCAACGCGCTTCTACACGTGGACGCATCCGTCTGCTCTGTTTCGCTGCCGCTGCGACTGCAGCAGGCGCCCTCGAGGGTCGACAAGGAACACGAGAATGGAAATTCACTCGTAGGCGTACCTCATTGTCTACGGTCAGGAAGTTCTGTTTAGCGTGTCGCTGCGGCGGCCCCAGCGACGCGCTGTGCCCTGCAAGCGGATAGCGTGTCCCTCCGCTCCGCGGGGCGGGAGGCTCGGAAAAACTCGGGATCTCCTCCACCTTCTCCTCTTCGCCTCTTCCTCCTCTCCCCCCTCCTCTCCCTCCTTCCCCCTCTTTCCCTTCCTGCCCCTCCTTCTCCTCCTCCTCCTTGTTCTCCTCCATCCTTCTCTCCTGTTCGTCCTCGTCGTCATCGGCGTCCTCATTCTGCTCCCACTCCTGCTCCTACATCTGTTGCTTATCCTCATTATCCCCCCATTGTCCTGCTGCAGCTCCTTTTTGCTGCGGCTGTGCGTGCTCTCCTGATTCCTAGACTCCTCGGACCGAGTCCTTTCCCATTTCTTCATCCTACCCCTTCCTATGCTCATCATGTACCTCCCCTATCCATCCTCCTCGCTGCTCGCTTCTCCTCTTCTGTCCTCCTCCTCCTCCTCCTCCTCCTCATCCTCGCTCCTTATCACTCGCTGCCCATCCTCCCCTCCTCATCTCCCCCTCCTCCTCCTCCTCCTCCTGTTCCTCCTCCTCCTCCTCCTCCTCCTCCTCCTCCTCCTCCTCCTCCTCCTCCTCCTCCTCCCCCCCCGCAACTTTTTTCAGTGCATTCCCTGAACAGGCCCTCAGTCGCAATGCTGCTGCTGAAACTTGAATCCAGCTTGCACCTCCCTCGTCCCTCCCTCCCCCACTTTCTCCCTCCCTCCAAGAATCTCTCCAAATCCCTTTCTCTTCATCCCTGGCGTCCGACGTCGTGTCTTTGTTCCGCAACCTGGCTCCCCGAAGGTCTGGGCCTCTTCACAGTGACCCGCTCTTCCTCCAAGGTCGTCTTCTGATGATCCTGGGTTCTGCCGAGGACCCCCAGAGGCCGAAAACTACTCAGAGCGTCCCGTCGTGGCTTTCTCCACGATGCGAGGATGTCAAGGATCCCCGCTCCTCTTGGCGGCGTCCACAAGAGGGTGGCGCGAGGGGGCCGGCCTGCGGAGACGGCCGTCGGGGGTTCAAGAAGGCAGGCGGGCTTCTTAGACGCCGCCCTGGCTTCTGTGAAGCCTTCCTAGAAGCCACCAGACCTTCTCAGAAGGCCCACCCCCCCCGCGCCGCCCCCTGGCAGGCGCCGCCAGTCCTTTCTTCTCCTCGCCCCTGCTCCTCCTCGCTCAGCTCCTCGGTGTTAAGTGACAGCAAGCGGCGTAAACACAATTTCTCGGAGGTCCGAGCGGATTTCTTGGATCGGCGCTGGACCATCATCCCTGGCGCGCGGAACGCGCCAGGGGCGGCCTTGGAGGCGCCGCCAGGGGGCCCAGTGTCGACCCGAGCAGTCCGCGCGCCACGCCGAGAGGTACTGCTTATGTTTTTGTGTTGCTTTTGGACCCCCGCCCTCCTCGGGGACGCGCCAACCTGGGTCTGCGAGAACCTGGGCCGGCCAGGGCCCTGTCGCGAAGCCTGGCTGGCCGCTTCGTAGCTCGCTCCCAAGCCCGGGTCAGCGGAGGGCACACAGAGGGAATCGGCTCCACGTGGCCCTCAAACCCGGGCCAGCGAGAGGGTTGGCTGACCCCTGTTCGCGCTGAACCCCGTTCGCAAACTCCCGGCGTCATATTTTTTCAATGCGGAGTCCCCCGAAGTCCAGATCCTTTGCCCTTTCTCCGTGACGGGTTTTTGATCCTGACCCCTTTTCTGACAGCCCCGAGGCCCGGCGAAGGGTCCCCCAGAGCCCGAACACAGCGAGAAACCTCCCGTCCGGACTTTTTCACCACGCGAGCATGTCTGGGTGCGTGAGCCCCGACCCGCCTCCCAATCCTGGCTGGCTTGTGGCACCCTCCACCTCACCGGAGCCTCGTCTGCCCGCTGCTCCCCCCCCACACATCCATGCCCAGATGGTTATGGCTGCCCGCGGCTGCGGGGCCCTAAGTGGTCTCGGAGTGCTCGGGCGGGCTTAGACGCGCTCGAGCGCGCGCGCTTGGCTGTTTTCCGACCTTCTACGCCCTGTCGCCGCGCGCGGGGCCGCGACGCCAAAAGCGGGAACCCCGACCTCCTCCCGCGACCTGGAATCGGCGATACGGATCGGCGATAGGCCCCCGATAGCGAAACCGTACCTTCCTGGGCGGGTTGGGGCTATCGGGCCCCTATCGGCGATCAGTGGGCGATTGGTGCATCCCCACCCTGTGCCTATTCCAATTTATCGTTGCCCCTGCGCATCGTGCACCCGTCGTGCACCCTTTGGGCCCACGGTCGCAGTTTAGGGGCCGTTTAGGGCCACTGTGGGGCCATTTTCTTGTAATCGATCCTCGATGCCCCCCCGTTGCCGTCCGCCCGACTCTGGCGGACTGATCTCTGTCCTTCCCAAATGTCTGCTTCTGGGGGCCGTTTTGCGGCCCCAGGGCCAACAAAAACCGATCCGCGACGAAACTGCACATCCCCCCCTGTCGTTGCCCCCGACCGACCTCCTCCCGCGGCTCCCCTTCCAGAGGGGCACCGCCTCGGCCTCCTTCGAGGTCTGCACTGCGAGCTCGCGCGTGGGCGACAGGAGCAGGAGCAGGGGGCTGCCTCTGCGCCGGCCCGGGTCCCGTCCGCCACCCCTCAGAGGCAGCTGTCGGGGGGGACGAAGGGGTAGAATAGCAGGGGGCAGGGCAAAGAATCAACTCACGCAGCTGGTTTTCCTGGCGCCTCCTAGCGCCGGGAGGAGCCCATGTATCGAGAAATTGGCCCAGTGGCGGGGCCGAATGCAGCTTCATACAGCAGATGTCGTACGCCCCCCTTTCACTGTCCCCCGCTTAGTCCGGCCCGAAGCTGGGCGGTGAGCGGGAGGCACCTTCTGGGAGGTCTCGGGGAGAACGAGGGAAAGCCAGACATGCTCACGTCGTGAAAAAATCACGGCGGAACATTTGTGGCCGTTTTCGGCCTTCGGGGGCCTCGCCGGGCCCTGGGACTGACGAAAAACGGCCCAGAATGAAAAACTGGCCCAAGGGATAGGGTCGGGACTTGCGGGGGCCCCGTATTGAAACAGAAACAAGGCATCGCATGTCTTGGAAGCTATTAAGCAATTTTTCTATCCAAAGAGGCCTCCCGAATTGGGTCCGAGTAGATGGGGTCGGAAGATAGCGCCACATCGTCGAAGCATTGGCGACGTGCGCGATGCATCGGCGACGTCGGCGTGGAGAAAATCGGGCTCCACATTGAGCCGCATCGCCGATGCATCGGCGATGCGGTGAGATCCTCCGACCCCGTCTACTCTGACCCCATCACCGATGAAAAGGGGACTCCATCACGCGAAGCACCAGCCACAGAGGATAAGGAAGAGGAGGAGCAGCAATGAGTGTTTGTTCTACGCCGCCAAGTCGAGAGCGAGACCACGCGCGAACGCCCTCCGTTCGTTACGTGGGAGCGCCGGCTAGTTCCAATATCAAGTTGGGCCAGGATCGACTCTCATGTACGGGCGGGAGTGTGAGTGGGCCTGGCCCGCTGATTCGCTCGACCTGGCCAATTAGAGTGACTCTCCCTCCTCCTCCTCCTCCAAAGAAGTATACTCGGCCTCGCAGATTCTTGTGCGGCAGCGCACACCAAGAAAGGGAAGCATAATCTGCGGCGCCGAGACCAGAGAAGTATCCCCAGGCTGAGGGCATCACAGGATACGACGACGACGACGACGACGACGACGACGACGACGACGACGACGACGACGACGACGACGACGACGACGACGACGACGACGACTACTACTACTACTACTACTACTACTACATCTACTACTTCTACTACTACCACAATAATTACTACTACACCAACAACAACTACTACAACTACTACTACTACTACTACTACTACTACTACTACAACTTCTTCTTCTTCTACTACTACTACTGCTACTACTACTACTACTACTACGGCTACTACTACTACTACTACTACTACTGCTGCTGCTACTACTACTACTACTACTACTACTACTACTACTATGAATACTACTCCTATGAATACTACGACTACGACTACTACTACTACTACGACTACTACTACTATTATTACTACTACTACTACCACGACGACGACAACGACGACGACTACTACTACTACTACTACTACTCCTACTCCTACTCCTCCTTCTCCTCCTCCTTCTACTACTACTACTACTACTGCTACTACTATATGCTACTGCTATTACTACGACCACTACTACGACTGCTGCTACTACTACTACTACTACTACTACTACTACTATCTGATGCTACTGCTACTGCTACTACTGCTACTGCTACTACTACTACTACTACTACTACTACTACTACTACTACTACTACTACTACTACTACTACTACTACTACAACCACTACCACTACCACTACCACTACCACTACCACTACCACTACCACTACCACTACCACTACCACTACCACTACCACTACCACTACCACTACCACTACCACTGCTACTACTACTACTCCTACTACTACAACAACTACTACTACTACTACTACTACTACTACTGCGGCTTCTACTACTGCTACGACGACGACGACGACTACTACTACTATTAACCATCACTCATACTAACACAACTAGTAAACACAAACATCACAGTACTATGAATAATAAAACAATACTCATCACAATACTACTCTTAATCCGTCGGTCCGGCCCCATTGTGGGGCCACAAGGCTGTAGGGCAAAGGTTTGCTGCTCCCTGCACCAGTTGCAGGTTATGTGATAGTTATGCTTCTTGTTGTGTTACTGTTCCTTGTTGTAGACCGCGCGAAGGGGGGAGCCGAAAATCAGCCTGGTTAGCTTCTCCTGGGAGAAATATCAGAATCTCTGGGGGGTCGAAATTGACACTCATCAGGCAGATCGGCAGGGTCAGGGTCCAAAAACGCATGGGGTTTGCCACATTTCTAAAATTCGGCGACCCCCCTCACGCAGATCGGCGGAGTCAGGGTCGAAAAACCAAAGGGATTTGCAACATTTCTGAACTTCGGCGGCACCCCTCACGCAGATCGGCGGGGTCAACAACACATGGGATTTGCCACATGTCTGAAATTCGGCGGCACCCTTTATGCAGATCGGCGGAGTCAGGGTCGAAAAACCAATCTGATTTGCCACATTTCTGAAATTCGGTGGCATCCCTCACGTAGATCGGCGGGGTCAGGGTTCAAAAACACATGGGGTTTGCCACATGTCTGAAATTCGGCGGCCCCCCTCACGCAGATCGGCGGGGTCAGGGTCGAAAAACCAAGGGGATTTGCTACATGTTTTGAAATTCTGTAGCTCCCCTCACGCAGATCGGCGGGGTCGGGGTCCACAAACACAAGGGATTTGTCACATGTCTGAAGTTCGGTGGCACTCCTCATGCAGATCGGCGGGGTCAGGGTCGAAAAACCATTGGGATTTGCCACATTTCTGAAATTCGGTGGCATCCCTCACGCAGATCGGTGGGGTCAGGGTAAAAAAACAGATGGGACTTGCAACATCTCAATACTTTGTAGAAGAGATTTCTGCACAGCATACGCGAGCAAGCTTAAAATACAACACCGAGTTCATCAATGTCATCATAATCTCAATTTGTCTTGCCGATTACTCATCACTCACCGTCTTCGCGTGAAGTCCCGACGCCGCTTCACGGCGGCGCCAAGGCCTCATGATTTCGCTCTTGCAGTGCCCATTATCTGAGAGAGGGGGCCGGCGAAAGGGGGCGAAGCCCTTACGGATATAATACGAAGACTGATATAATCATTACGAGTGATACAAATAATAATCATTAAAAATAGCAATAACAAAACATTACCCCTTAACAATAAACACACACACACTAAGAATGCCTCTCGCTCACCACCTGGCTAACTTGATTGGTTCTCATGTCATGGGCGAGAGGGTGGGAGTGGGGATTCATGTGTGCAGCGCCTGGTGGGCCCAAACGCGCCTGACCACGCCACGAGGGCCGAACGCTAGAGAGGCGCGCGGCCCCGTGCGCATCCAGCGCCTGCCCCTGGCCCGCCGCGCCAGATGCATCCAGCTGCCTGTTAGGAGGCTGCTGCGCTCAGCATTTTGGCCAAGGAATCCAGGGTCTGGAAGCCCTCTGGATCTGCAATCGCGGACTGTCCATGGATATCACCGCCGCCCTCATTTGAGAAGGAATCGTCCAGGGCCTGAAGCCTCCTGGGCACATGCCGTAACCAAAGCCCCCGCCGTATCTCCTCCATTCCTGCTCACTCAAGACAGGCACCCCGGACCCCATCTTTCTGCGTCATTCTTCGAGCCGGGTCGGTCTGTGAGGGTCCCGCGGCCCGAGATCGGGCGAGAACGCCCGGAGTGGAACAAATTGCAACGCCCGCGCCTGAATGGAATATATGAGCAGTGTGCGTGTGTGTGTGTGTGTGTGTAAAAAGCCCCCGAGGCGCGCGGCCAGCGGCAGACGGCGGGCGGGGGCCCCGCCTTGCGCGTGGGGGCCGGCGAAGAATGGCCGGCTGATGGCCCCCTGTGACGGCGGCGGCGGGCCGGGGCGCGGCATCTCGCGGGACGTGGCGACGACGACCTTCCAGCCCCTCCCCCGCCTCCTGTTCCTCCCCCCGCCTCCTCCCCCGCCTCCTGGCTCCTCCTGGCTCCTCCTGGCTCCTCCTCCTCCTCCTCCTCCTCCCTCTACATTCTCCCCCATTCCCTTCCCCCTCATCCATGGTGAACCAAGTGCTACGGGGTCTTCGGGGGTTTCTGTTTCCTCGCGATGCTGGAGAAGCGCAGGTGGTGGCAATCGCGCAATTCACGACTTCGCCATTGCCCGACTCACTCAAGGAGCTCACTCCTCCACCTGTTCCCCATTCGTGGGCATTTTGCCCCCGAAGTCGTCGAATCGGGACTCCCCCCGACTCGAGCGTCGCAGCGGCCTCTCGCGGCCCAGACGGGTGCCACTGGCCCGATCGATTGGCAGGCGCCGGGGGGTCGCTCTGGCCAGGCCGCTGCGCGTTGGCGGTCGGCCTCGGCAGGGGCCCCGCCGTGGCGACGAGGGCGCTGCCAGGTGGTTGCTGCTACTGGTGCGTGGCTCGTGTGCTGCGCGACCTGGAGCGCACTTGCCGTGGGTAGTTGCGCACCATCGGTGCTGTGCTGCGCCTGTGGGCGGGCGGCGCTGCTGCGGCCCCCGAGGGCGCCACCGCAGATGACGTTGAGAGTGATACTGACGGTTATAATCGCAATTCGAATAGTGATACTAAGACTAAGATGACCACTACAAGTAAGAAGACGAGGCACCATAAGCAATAAACACATGTAAAGTACTATTATCAATCATAATGATGACACTACTACTGAAAACACACATAAGCATTTAATACTGAAATGTGTAATAATATGAATACTAAGAAGACGGCGAATCACAATAATGATGGTGTTGCGAACACAAGAAGTGTCAATCATCATAGTAGTAATCGAACAAGGAGCATTCGACGGAGAAATGGAAGCCACGCGCTGACAATACTATCAACAAGGAATTAAAAAAACAGCACATCGTAGTAGCGCTAGCAAATAGAAAACAACCACAGTAATATGATTATTACTAAAAATAAGGAACAACTGCAGATATAATACAAACTTTCGGAGCTCCGCGGTGATTTCTTGGGTCGGCGCTGGACACGCGTCGCCAGCGCGCGGAGCCCGCCAGCAGCGGCGCCTCCGGCGCCGCCAGAAGCTTTCAAGGGGGTCCTGCGCCGACCCGAGAAATCCGCGCGGATCTCCGACACCTGATGTCTATGCCGTGTGCGGAGGTCGGAGGTTAGTCGTGCGAGGCGCGGGCAGAGCTCGCGCGGTGCAGCCGGTCCACCGCAGGCTGCCGCTGGCAGGCAGGCGGAGCCTGTGGGCAGCGTGGAGGCCACGCTGTGCGGCGAGCAAGTGCAACTTGGCGGCGGCAGGCGCGTCCCCCCGGCAAGTCGCCACGATTGAGGTCGCGCGAGAGGCACGGCCGAGGGCAAGCGCGCTGGCGGGCGTGCTGGGAGGCGCCGCGTGTGCTCGCCGCTCTCACTGCGCGCGCTGCCGCAGCGATAGGGGAGCCTCTACCTACGGCCCCACCGGGCGCCGACGCATGGCGTACACGCCTCCCGTTTCGGTGCGCTCCTCACGAAGATAGTGGCCAGAGCTCCACCTACGGCCCCCGTGTGCAGCGCCGCACGCGTGGCTGGCTGGTGCGGCGGGCAGCCGCTGCGGCGCGGGCAGCACGTGCAGCTGGTAAGGGTGCCCGGTGCCGCCCGCGCTGATTGGAAAGCAGGATGACGCAGGACGCAGCATAGAACGTGCAAGCAACGAGTCGCAACACACGCCAGCACATGGATAAAGACGTTTGGCTGGAAGCTGGCGCCCGCCGCGGGCGCGGGACCACTGGAATCCTCTGGGGCGTGGGGGACCACTGGTGGCGGGGGAAGCCGCCGTCGAAGCGGCCATGTGCTGGGCGGAAGGCGACGCGGCCGTGCCAGGCGCGCGCCGCCTCAGAAGCGTTGTTTGGGAAGGTGGGAAGGAAGACGAGGACTGGGAGCAGGGGAATGGAAGAACAACGCGTCGGTGGCATTTTCGCGAAATGGGCCCGAAACGGCAGATTTTCCCTGCTCGCGCTGTCCGCTCGTGCGTCTGCGTCCAAACGCATCTTCGTGCTGCTGCTCGCTCTTCCAGTGTCAAATCACAAGGTCCTAATGTGAAGCCCAGTGGAACACTCGAGACTTGTCTGGCCCCTGCCGCAAGATAAGAACATGACAAAATCTCTTGGAACAAACGCCACAACTAATGATATCCATGTGGCCGACAGATGCAGACATTGATCACGGCGCTACGGAACTTATCAATCGTCATGCCTCCAAGAAGCAAGCAAAACAAGCAACCCGTACCTGCAATATCAACCGCGCCACTGAAGGAATAACAAATGCGAACGTCTTGCCAGACCCGGTCTGGGCTGACGCGATCAGGTCGTACCTGTTGCTGCTGCTCTGAAGGACTGGGAAGGCTGAGGATGGGACTTCGCACGCTCGTACGGGCGTGCGGCCGTAGAGTACAACAGCAAGAGATGGACACGTCAATCCTGAGGGTGCGGTGTGAGTCCGAGAGGTGCTCGTTTCAGCTGGCAGGTTCGAGTTTGCTCACATGGGAGTGTGTGTGTGTGCCTCAGAGTGGTCAATACACGGTGGCGGTCCAACGCACTCGGGCATGAGCCTGGTCAGAAGGCATACCTCGATTAGACATCAAAGGCGTCGCACAGAGAAAAAGAGATGGGGGAAGACAGAGAAAGAGAGAAACAGAGAAGGGGGGATTGAAGGACTGGATATGAAACGCGTATCTACTGTCGACAGTGATCTTGCGAACGTCTGCCAAAGGACGGCTTCAATACCATCGGAATCCAAACGCCAACCTTATGTCAGACTCGCCGTCATTTCCGTGAACAGACGCACGCAAACTATGCATGCACACGACACCATAAACAACGGCATACACATACGCATATATCCCTGCACTTACCTGCTCCACTCTCCCAAATACAAGAGTATTGCAACATGAACCGCACGCGCAAACAAACGTATGTGAGCAGGCATCTAGACATCTGTGCCTGTACTGATGCGAATGATCTTTCACCAGAAAGACAGCCGTGATTCGAAAAGCCCCGCGTGCGGGTCATGTGCATCAGCCCATGCTTCGCGCTGTGAAACCTCTGCACGTGTACAAGCCCCCATCTTCCATATCACGCATATATCTTCCACCCGCGAGTGTGGATGAAGAAAGGAGGTTCCAATTTACGCGTCAACCGCACGTACCGAAACATCACATCTCGACTGTTTCGAGGAATGGATACGCTCCATTACACCTTCGCAGCAGAAAATGAACGAGTCAATCTAACATCGTACTGTACACAACGGGAGAGAACGGGGGACAACAAGAGACATCCGGAGACAACGGGCGACAACGGGAGACAATGCGAGACAGGGGCGACAACGGGAGATAAATGGCGCCTGAACGCCACTGGAGACAACGGGTGACAACGGGCGGCGACGGGAAACAACGGGAGCCACGGGCGACAACGGGAGATGATCGGCGCCCGAACGACAACGGGAGACAAATGGGGACAACGGGAGACAATGGTCGACAAAGGGAGACAACGGGCGACAATTGCGCCATATTGATTCCAGGTCCAAGACCAATTCAATCAAGCTGTTTAAGGAACGCTTTCAAACCCATGGGCAGTGTGATGCGAAAACCGTTGCTTCTGTATGTTCGGGCCAAGCAATACAATTTGATACCGACGGGTTTTCCGCGACGGGGGGAGGGAAGAAAACACCCAATGAAACGTCCATGGGCATGGTTCAGTCGAAAGGATAGGCGGCGATGCAATTGGGGGAACGAAATGTACATCAACATACGGAACAACCGCAGTGATACCTATACGACCACCCTGCGGGTGTCAAGGAGGTTGGGGGGGGGGAGAGGGGGGGCAACAATAGGCAACAGCGGTGATTGTTGCGTTGCCGCCCGCTCTTGGGAGCCTTGGGGTCGAGTTGTTTAATGTCAAAAAAACAATTAAACCATTATTTTGGGGAGACAGTTGAAAACACAGTTTTCCCCAGCGCTGTAGTGCGCCTATAGAAAACAAAAGGGAGGCGGGGCAAATTTGATCGCTGGAAACGTCCCCGCGACCGCCCTGGCACCCTGCGTGCAGCGGCAAATTCCTGCGCGCCCCCTCTTGGCGTCAGGCCACACCTGCCACGCCCTGCGACCGCAGCGTGGATAGAGACTGCGCTCAGGGACCACTCCCTGCGCACCGCGCACCCTGTCTGGGTTGCGAAGCGGCACCGAATACGCAAACGCGGCACGCCGCAGATAGATTGTATACAACGGGGGCGATGTTAAATTCCAGAAGCCAATGGCGAACACCCAATGTAAAAATTCATTCTCTGATCGGAAGACGGGAACATCCCAATGTGGATATACGACACTGAATGCAAACAAAAATGCCAAGCGCCAGCGCGCGCGCGCGGCGGCGGCACGCCGCTGATAGATATTACGCAACAGGACGAAAATTCCCAAACCCAATGGCGAAAACCCCATGCAAAAATTCATTCTCTGATCGGAAGACGGGAAAATCCCAATCGGCATTCTTCCTGGTACCGAGGTGTATACAAGTGGCATCGAGCGGCATCCATGGATTTTTTTCCAGGGGGGCGGATAAAACATAATTATTCGGATGCGAATTAATGTCAGTCGGGATCCGGGGGGGGGGGGGAAGGGGGGGTCATCATTTGTTTAACCGGTTTTGGACATTACGTCATCCTTCGGTCTTGGGCGCCTTGGCATCGTTATCGGTCTCACGATCGATGGGACCATCGATCCCACTATCGATCTCACCATCGATCTCACTCGATCGATTGCACTGTCGATCTCACTCTGGATCTCACCATCGATCCCACTAATGATCTCCCTATCGATCTCACTCGATCTCACAATCGATATCACTATTCATCTCACTATCGATCTCACTATCGATCTCACAATCGATATCACTATCGGTCTCACTATCGATCTCACAATCGATCTCACAATCGATTTCGTCATCGGTCTCAGAATCGTTTTCGCACCTGCGGGACACTGGGACACCGGAGGGACACCGGCGGGCCACCGCGGGCCACCGCTTGCCAGAGGGAGAATCATTTGGTCCGGCCCAGGCCCAGCCACAAGCGGGGGCGGGACACCGGCGGGACACCGCGGGCCACCGCTTGCCGGAGGGAGAATCATTTGGTCCGGCCGCGCCTCAGCCACAGGAGACTTTCCTAACGCCCGCCCACGCAGCTTCGCCTCGCCCACACGCACGGCACACACGAACACGAAACCGAAACCGATTTCCCGGTGGGGGGCTCTCTGTTCCACTTCGATCTCACCCCCAAAACCTCCGATTCATAGCAATAAGAAGAAGAAGAAGAAGAAGAAGAAGAAGAAGAAGAAGAACGATAATGCCAGCGCGTGGGCCCCAACACACTCATTGTAGGGATCAATATGGGGGCTCACGCATGCGCAAACCAACGCGTGTGGTTTCTGTGTGACTACGTCACAGCAGTATCTGTGCAAGCCTGCGTGAGGGCCTTCAATGTGCAATATGGAGCTGCGTCCTACGCGGTTGATCTTCTGATTGCGAGAGATAACGCCAGTGCGGGTGGAAACCATGGGAAGCCACGGGAAATCATAGGAGGCACATGTGCAAGCTGAACATGCGATAAACTAGGTCCAGCGGGGGGGGGGTCGGGAGGGGGGACGCAACAGGCAGCTACAGGAAACCACGCAACATTCGGATAGTACCGCCGACAAATCTGCTCGGAGGGGGAGGGAACGCCGTGGGAAGCCATTCAATTCCACAGGAACGCACGCGGCGCCCAGAAGGTGCGACGAGCGCGTCAGGTTGGTGGACGCAGCCATGGGAAGTCATGGGAGACCACCGACAGCCACGCGGTGACCATACCACGCGACAAACACGTCCAGTGATGCTGAGGGGTAACAGGAAGCCTAGCGGCGACAGTCAGATCCAGTTTGTTCGGGCACAAATTAAGAATCCTTCAGCGCGAGCACTGATTTGAAAGAGGGAACAGAACTTTGCCGCCCTCCGTGCCCATTTCCGCTACGCGCGCCCAGGGAAAGCGTGAGGCCGGGGCTCACTCGGCAGAATCTCTGTGGGTACATTTGGGCGTCTGCATGTGCACGTGTACTTGCTTGGCCGCTAGGCACGCGTGGGCACTCCATCAAGACTGCTTCCCCGAAAACATCGGCAGGCGAACGGCCACGCTGTTTCGCATACGACGAGAAGGAGTCTCGTGGACACTTGCTGGTGTGTTACTTCGTCCCTCCCTTCCTCCCCCTCCCGTCGTCCCCTCCGACCCCCTGCTTTCCTCCTCCTCCACCTCTTCTTCCTCGTCGTTGTGGTCCGCTTGCTCATCCTTCATCCCCTCCTGTAGCTTCCTCGCCCTCCTCCTGGGGCCACCGCATCTCACGAGATTATGATAATGCTGGGGCGCGTCCAGAAAGAGCCCTTAATGACGAAACTCCTTAGCTTGGAAGAACCATGGTGGGGGGACATACTGTGGGGGAAGACAGCGACACGCTGCGCGGGTCACGATCAGCAACATCAACCATGGTTCCCGAATATGTGGTGTGGCTTCAGAACGGTGTATCAGTTGGTTGGCAATGGTCGCACAGGCTAGGGCCACCGCCCCGATTTGGGGAAATCTGAAACCTAAGGGGGCCGCGGGCGGGAACCGAGCCTTCAGCAAGCTGAGGTGCTATGTCGCTGTCTTCCCAAGGGGGGAGGGGCGGGGATAAGGAATCACCTGGTAGCATCCAGTACCAGCGAAACCCGCATGTGCTGACATCTGATCGCAAGTGTGAACATCCAGCCGCACCGCATGCCGCAACCTGTTGACAGCTCTGCTGGCAGTGAGCACAAGCTCCCTGTCATCCCACTGGTTACTCTCGCCCCAATCGTTTGTGTTGAGCTTCCACATCTGAAGATAAAAAGGCCTTCTAAATAGGCCCTCGGCCCTGGCACCCTGTTCTTGTCAGAGAACGTCCCGAGGAGCATATGTTGTGTTCCAGGGTCCCCAGCTACAACAACAACGGCTCCTGCCTGGGACTTCCTCTTTATCTATTCAGGGGTCGCACTCTCACTCGGAGTCTTCCTGGCGATGTATTCAAGTCTCGTGCCCCCGCCTGACATTTTACCTCAACTTGCTCGGGATTCGCGCCCTCGCCGCTCTGGAAACATACTCTGGCCCGGGACACCCCCACAACATGTTCAAGAATGGCGATCTGGCCTGAGACTTCCACTCGACTGATCAAGTAGTCGCAATTTGATGTCCCGCCCGCCCGATCCGCCCGTTAGGGTCCGCCCGCCCGACCCGCCCGTTAGGGTCCGCCAGGTGGAGCGCCTGGAAGCCCGCCCGCCCGCTTCACGTCGCGCCCGCACGTCCCGCCCGTTCGGGTCCGCCTGCCCAGCCCGCCCGTGCGGGTCCGCCCGCCAGATCCGCGCGTCTTACCCTGTCGGGGTTCGCCCAGGAGCTGGCATGAGAAAGGAAGCCCCCCCAAGGGGGTACGTTCGTAAGCAAAGAGTGTGGGAGTCGAGGGTCTGGGACATACATGTTCAGGGTTACGAGTGGAACGAAGAGTGAAGCCTTAGAATGGTTTTGTAAAATGCGATCTCTGCTTCCATGAGGTGACTGGGCCTGCCCGGAAGCCATGTCCCAATGCACGAGCCCAAAATGCCACGCCTGTACTGCGCCTTCGTGGAATCCGTCCTCGGTCACCTCGTTCTACGGCCAGGAACTTTTGCTTAGCGTGTCGCCGCGGCAGCCCCGGCGACACGCGATGCCTTGCGAGCGGATAGCGTGTCGCTCAGCTCCGCGGGGCGGGAGGCTGGGAAAAGCTCGAAGCGTCGACGCTCGGGGACCTGGACGTGGATAGCATGTCGCGCCGAAGCTCGGTGGGCCAGAGCCAGCGGAGCTACGCGCTAACTTAGAACTGACCGTCTATCGTACTCTGACTAGCTGTCTGCTAATACCCTGCGTGCCGAGAACACATTACTTCCCTGCATCATCCTCCACCCGTTGCGCGAGCTTCAAAGGCAACTGGCTGCGGCAACAGGCAGCGGGGGGAGAGCAACTGCCGAGTGGGCACCGCCCAGACTGGTGGCTGATGATCGGCAAGGCCTCGGCTGCGTGGCCCAGTCGAGCAGTCGTCAGATCAATAAAAAAGCGTGATAATGAACCCGCCAACATGATTCACGAGAGCCACGGGCCCAACACCCGCACACCTTGGACCATCTGAAGATCTGCACGGCTTTGGGCTCCAGCCGCGCACTGCATCTGACCGACGATGCCATTTACTTTCATCTTGCTAACTGTGTTTGGTCAATGCGGTCGCTCGCCAAGATCTGACTTGTTGTAATTTGGGTATCCTGTGCTCTGGCCATACACCGAGAAGTCACAACTTGCTGATGACACGATCGTGGGCTGACATAGCACAACGTCGACCCAACATGACATGACTAAAAGATGACCTAACGATTCAACCGCTCTTGTGGGTTGACGAAGTGTGGTATCCCAAGCGGAATGCCTGGGTAAGGCTCGATGTGTGAATGTACGTATGCGCATACGCACATATCCGAAGGCCAGAGGGCACATATCTGAAAGTCAGAACCGATTGTTGGCGTCGCTGTTGTTGATTTGCCGTTTCGCGTGGGAGATCATCATATTTATGCGGGCGAAAAACCCTACCATATGCGGGTGCGAGTGGAACGAAGAAGGGGCAGGTCCCATGGGGCCACGGAACATGTGAGGAGTGTGCCGACGTTTGGGGAGGGGGCCGCCATGCGGACCTGTCATTGGTGCTTTCGGTTGAGCTCCCTGTGGGGCCACGAAACGTTTGAGCGGTGCCTCGAAAGGGGGCCCTGCCGCTGTGGCCTTCGGTGGAGCTCTCTATGAAGCCAAGAAGCGTGTGAGGGGTCTGCCGAAATTGGTGCAGGGCCGCCATGCGGACCCTCCACTGGGGCCGTCGGTGGAGCTCCCTGTGGGGCCACGACACGTGTGGGGAAACGTGCCGGATCGGGTGCAAGGGCGCCATGCGGTCGCTGCCACTGGGGCCTCCAGTGGCTGTCCCTTTGGGGCCACGAAGCGTCCGAGGGGTGTGCCGACATGGGTGCGGGGCCGCCGTGTGGACCCTCCACTGGCGCCTTCGGTGGAGCTCCCTATGAGGCCATGAAGCGTGTGAGGAGTGTACCAGATGGGATGCGGGTACGCCATGCGGACACTGCTGCTCCACATGGGGCCATGGAGCGTGTGAGCGGTGTGCCGAATCGGGTGCAAGCGCGTCACGCGGACGCTGCCGCTGGGGCCTTCGGTGAAGCTCCCAATGGGGCCAAGAAGCGTGTGAGGGGTGTACCGATGTGGTTGGCATGCGGAGGGCAGAGGCAGGGACGGGAGGAGGAGGGGGAGGAGCAGAGGAGGACGCGGGGCACTGTCTTTCGAAACGAGGCACCACAGGATGGCTGGGAATTCTGAGGATCGGACGCGCCCCTCGCGCACGAAGCGTGAGGGGTGTGCCGTATTGGGCGCGGGTGGGCCATGCGGACGCTACCGCTGGGGCCTTCGGAAGGAAACCTTACCGTTTCTTCCGCGCCGACTTCTTCCGAATGCCTTCTTCCGAACGACTTCTTCCGGACCACTTCTTCTGGACCACTCCTTCCGACGACGACTTCTTCCGCGACAACTTCTTCCGGACCACTTCTTCCGAACCACTTCTTCCGGACGACTTCTTCCGGACAGCTTCTTCCAGACCATGCCTTCCGGACGATTTCTCCCGGATCGCTTCCGGACGACTTCTTCCGCAAACAATTCTTCTGGACGACTTCTTCCGAACGACTTCTTCCGGACCACTTCTTTTGGACGACGTCTTCTGGACGACTTCTTCCGAAACGATTACTTCCGGGCGATGTCTTCCGGATGATTTCTCCCGCACGACTTTTTCCGAACGTCTTCCTCCGAATGACGTCATCCGAACAATTTCTTCCGAGAACTTCTCCTCTGCCTCGTTGTTCCTCCCCCACCTTCTCCGAACGACTAATTCCGGACGACTTCTTCCAGCCCACTTCTTCCGGGCTGTTGCTTCCCCTCCTCCTCTCCTCCTTCTCCTCCTCCTCCTCCTCCTTCTCCTCCTCCTCCTCCTCCTCCTCCTCCTCCTCCTCTCCCCCCTCGTCCCCGGCATTGTCCTCCTGTTCCTTTTCCTCCTCCTCCTCCTCTTCCTCCTCGACCTCGTCCTCTTCCGCAGCCACAGTCCCGCTCCTCCATCCCCCGAATCGTCCTTTCCGAAGATAGCCCCAAGATGGCTCCAGGGAGCCCCACGAGACACCCAATTCCGCGCTGACTTCTTCCGAACGACTTCTTCCGAACGATTTCTTCCGGACCACCTCTTCTGGACGACTTCTTCCGGACCACTTCTTTCGATGTCGACTTCTTCCGCAACGACTCCTTCCGGACTAACTTCTTCTGAACCACTTCTTCCGAACGATTTCTCCTGGACGACTTCTTCCGAACGATCTCTTTCGAGCGACTTCGTCCGAAAAGTTCTTCTCCGCCTCGTCGTTCATCCTCCGCTTCCTCCTCCTCCTCCTACTCCTTGTCCTCCTCCTCCTCCTTCTCCCTCGACCTTCTCCGCGACGGTCTCTCCTAAAACGGTCTCTTCCTAGCACGGCTTCTTCCGCGACGACTTCTTCCCGACGACTTCTTCCAAACGACTTCTGTACCGACCGACTTCTTGTGGACATGTTTTCCAGACGACTTCTTCCGGACGACTTCTTCCGAGACGCGCCTTCTTCCGCGCCCCATCTTCCAGGCGACTTCATCCGGACGGGTTTTCCCGAGGGTGAATTCTGCCGATGCGACTTCTGGCCCCCTCCTCGCTCCTTATCCTCCACCTCCTCGCTCTTCCTCCCAAGGCTCTTATTATCCTCTCATCCCTCTTCCCTCCTCTCTCGTCCTCCTGCCTATTGCCTCCAATCCCTTCTTCCTCCTCTTCCCTCTTGCCTCCTCCCTCCTCCCTCCCTCCTCTCACCTCCTCCTCCTGTTCCTTCCGCCCTCCTCCCTCCTGCCTCCTCCCCAGTCTCCCCCCGTCCGTCCTTGTTCCTCTCTCCTCTGACCTCCTCCCTCGTCCCTCTAGTCGGCACGTGGCAAAGCCTGCGGGCCAAACGTTGAACTTATTCAACTCTTTCAGCCACGTGGCAAACGAATGGGGCGAATAAGTGTGCTACTCCACTCCCCTCGCGACGTGGCAACGCCTACGGGACTGACACAAATACTATTCCGTGCGAGTTGCCAGGTGGAAGCGACTGGGGAGCGAAATGCGAAGTGTTCCACTCCACGACTCGCCACGTGGCAACGCCTGCGAGGCGGAACGAATATTTGTTCGCTATACTCGTCACGTGGCAACGCCGGGGGAGCGAAACAAATACTGCTCCACTCTCCCTGCCACGAGGCAGCGCTCCGATGGGGGGAACATATACTACTGCACCGCACTCACCACGTGGCAGCGCCTGCGGAGCGAAACAAAAGTACTCCACTCTACTCGGCACGTGGCAACGAAGCGGGGCGGCAACAAATGCTACTCTCCTCTACTCGCCGCGTGGCAACGCCACGTGGCAAACCCCTAAAAATACGATCCCACCCCACTCGCCACGCGGCAACGACATGGGGAGCGAACGAGAAGTAAACATAGCCTCAACTTATCACGCGGCAGTGCCGCGCGGACCGAACATGGACAATCCCAGTGTACGCGCCACACGGCAGCGTCTGGGGTGTGTGTGTGTGTGGGGGCGAAAACAACTATTCTATTATCTTCGCCACGTGGCACAACCGCGGGGCGGGAACACATAAAGCGCAAATCCGTTCGCAACGGGGCAACGACAGGCCGGCGAACAAAATACAATACAACTTTGCGCGCAATGTTGCCAAACCGCACAACTCTGTTGCAATCGGAGTGGCAATGTCGCGGAGGCGAACACCAAACTCTACTCGGCACGTGGCTCCAACGCGGACGCAGACGACGATGACGACGACACCGACAACGACGAGAACGACGACGATGGACGACGATGACGACGACGGGCGACGATGCCGACGACGACGACAATGACACCGACAATGCCAACGGCAACGACAATGACAGCGACGACATCGACGACGACGACGACGACGACGAGGAGGAGGATGAGGATGAGGAGGAGGAGGAGGAGGAGGAGGAGAAGGAGGATGATGATGATGATGATGATGATGATGATGATGATGATGATGATCATGATGATGATCATGATGAAGACAACCACGCGCCGTCGCGGCCGCCGCCGCCACCGCCGCCCGCCAGCCTGCCCGCCTGCCCGCCCGCCCGCACGCTCGCCCGCCCGCGCGCGCGCGCCCCCGCTCGCGCACGCCACGTGGCTACGCCGGGGGAGCGAAACAGATCCTGCTCCATTCTGCTTGCCACGTGGCAACGCTCGAGGAATGGAAAATAGTACTCCATTGTACTCGCCACGTGGCAACGCCTGAGCACGTGGCAGCGAAGCAGGCCGGGAACTCATGCTACTCCACTCTACCCGCCACGATGCAACGCCACGTGGCAAGACCTGATAGGCAAACAAAAATACAATCCCACTCCATTCGCCACAAGGCAATGACACGGGGAACGAACAAGAACAACACCTCCGGTGTACACATTACGTGGCAATGCCGCGGCGAAATCTTCGGGGCGACTTCTTCCGAGAAGAGTTCTTCCGGGGCGACTTCATCCCGGCGGCATGGGGAGCGAACGAGAAGTGTAATTAAACTCCACTCATCACGTGGCAATGCCGTGCGGACCGAACATATTGTACAATCCCACTGCAGTCGCCACGTGGCAGCGTCTGGGAGCGAAAACAAATATTCCATTCGTTATGTGACATCGCCGCAGGGCGCGAACACATGGAGCGCCGCTCCGTTCGCAACGGGGCAACGACAGGCCGGCGAGCAAACTGCAAAACAACTGTGCGCGCAATGTTGCCAAGTGTAATTCTATCGCAACTCGACGTGGTAACGCCGCGGCGGCGAACACCACGATCTACTCGGCACGTGGCTCCAACGCGGACGCAGACGACGACGATGACGACGACAACGCCGAGAACGAC